AGCAGCCTGAACTTCTTCTTTCATCACCATAGGCTCTTGCTCATATGTTGTTTCATGAAATTCTTCTGTGTCTTCCAATTTCTTTCGATACAACAGAATCCACATCTGGCGTAGTTTTCACAGCTGATATTGAGTTGAAAAGGAAACTGTTGATATTGAGCTTTTCCAGTGATGCTTTCCACAGATATAATAAATTTTATTCTTCTGTAGTCCATCGGATGCGGTCCTTGTGTATAGTCACATTTATGTTTTTAAAATAAAAATTATTTTCAGTTAATAAATCACTGCTTATATAAAATTCTTTCATTCTCTCTCCATTCTCATTTCTGTTGCCAAGTCCTTATTTTCTGACCACTGATCCTTCTTCCTTGTTTTCAACTCTTGCATTCCAGTCACCAATTATTATTAATGAATCTTGGTTGGATATTAATTAGATTGATTTCAGACTGCAAAAATTTTGGTAAAATCTTCTACTTCTTTCTTGTTGACTCTAGTTTTTGGTGCATATATTTGAATTAAAGTGGTATTAATAGGTCTTTCTTGTATGTGTATGAATATATTATCTTGTCTCTCAAAGCATTGTATTTCATGATGGATCTAGAAATTATCCTTTTTACTATTAATATCACTCCATTTCCCCTTCATCTTTTTATTCCTGGTGTATTAGATTGTCTGATTCAGAATGTCTCATGTTCCTCCATCTTAGCTCAACAATGCCTCATTTGTCAATATGCAAAAGATCATTAGATATCAGAAAAGACTTTGAATATTGCACTACAGTGCTGAGAAAACAAAGGGAAGAAAGGAGCTGAATGGAAGATTTCTAAGGGCTGCTCGGAAAGACAAAGCAAAGTTTTATAATAAAATGTGCAAAGAGTTCATGTTAGAAAATCTAAAGGGACAGACTCATTCAGCATTTTTCAAGCTGAAGAAATTGAAGGACAAATTCAAGCTTTGAGTTGAAATACTTATAGATGCTATGGACAGAATATTCAATGATCCAGGAAGTGTCAAAAGAAGATGGAAATATTATTCAGAGTCACTGTACCAAAACTAATCGGCTGACACAGAAGAATTTAATTAAACTGCATATGATCAAGAGGCAATGGTGATGAAGGAGGAAGTTCAATCTGCTCTGAAGGAACTGGTATAGAACAAGGCCCCAAGAATTGATGGTATACCAATTAACATATCTTTTAAATTAAATTTTATTAGTTTTAATGAACATTTACAGAGATTTTGGGTTTTCATTCATTCATTGTTGCACTGTTTTCTCCACCCTCATCCCCAGTTCGTTCTTCTTCACCCCCAATGTCTGTTTTAACTGTCCAATTGCCACAGTGCTTGTCAAAGCCAG